AGGGGGGAAGTGGTGAAGGAGATTTGGAGAAATGTTGTGGGAAAAAGGGGGATGAAGTGGGGGGATAGATTGGGGAAAAGGTGGGGAGTAAGGGGGAGATCTTGGGGGGGGAGGAGGGGAAAGAGGCGGGGGAGGGTTCGGGGAGGGGCGGGGCAGGTATGGGGGAAGTCTCGGAGGAGGTGTGGGGGAGGGGCGGGGCAGGTAAGGGGGAGGTGTGGTCCTGGTGGTAGGTCGGCTTGTCAGGCCCGTCCGGCTTCTGCATCTCGTCCTGTGGGGGTAGGGTACTGGGTTCGGGTACGGTGGGGGTAGGGTAACAGAGGGTCCGGCTTCTGCATCTCGTCCTTGAGTCGCGCGAGGAAGAAGAGGCAATAGTCGACCGACGTGGCGAGCGTGACGCAGAGTAGGAGGACGGGCACCAAATAGTGGAGCGGCAGCAGGCGCGACGCGCCGTACGTGATGAGGAGGCTCGCCTAGCAACGAAGAGGGCTAACCAGCGTGTTGATTAGTGGTTGATGAGGCGCCGTGCGTGAGGAGCGGGCTCGCCCAGCTCGTAATGAGGAGTGCTAATGAGTGGTTGATTCGTGGTTGATGCGTCTTTTGCAGGCTTGCCGAGAGGGAGAGGGTGATGGTGAGGAGGGGGATGAGCATGATGCGCAGCGAGCGGAAGTAGAGCGCAAGCAGCGCCTAAGAAGAAGACACTCTCGCCGCTGGGCCGCGCATGATTTCTTTTTCTCGGAGTCGTGGAGTGCGCGCGGGCGGCGCCGTCGCGATCGGCAGCGTCAGTGTGTGGACAAACGCGGCGTCGCTCTGCACGGCGATGAGCATGTCTTGGCGCATCGTGAGGTCGCCCCCCAAGAAGACCGAGTAGGCCACGGGGCCGGCCTAGAAAAGAAATCGGGCGGCCTCACCTCTCTCTCACAGCAGACGCGCGCGACACGGGTGCGTCGCATCCGGCCTAGAAGGACAGAAAGGCCCGCCTCCAGAGACAGGCACGCCGCAGAAAAGAAACGCGCGCGGCCGGCCCGCCAGCTCGAGCTGCGCGTTGGTCACCATGTCCCCCTGCGGACGCGGCGCACAGAGCGGTGGGGGGGGGGGGTGGGGGGGGGGGGGGGGTCTAGGCACCGGAGGGTGGCAGTGCCTGGTGATGTGCGCTATGGCAGGAGGGATGGGGGAAAAGTGGAGGAAGGATTGGGGAAAAGTGGGGGGGAAGAAAAGTGGAATAAAAGTGGGGGGAAAAGTGGGGGGAAAAGTGGGGTGGAAAAGAAAAGTGGAAAGGAAAAGTGGGGGAAAAAAGTGGGGGGGAAAAGTTGGGGGAAAAAGTGGGGGGGAAAAAACACCCCTCCGGTGACGACATGGTCGAGGTGCTCCGGGTAGGAGTAGTTTAGGTAGATGACGACGAGCATGGCCGAGTCGCCCTCGGTCAGGAAGAGCTCCTTGACAAACTGCGGCGGCTTGTTGCTCACCTGTGCGCAACGGTGTGTGTGTATGTGTGTGTGTGTGTGTGTGTGTGTGTGTGTGTGTGTGTGTGTGTGTGTGTGTGTGTGTGCGTCTGTGCGTGTGCGTGTGCGTGTGCGTGTGCGTGTTCGCGTTCGTGCGCGTCGTGGACTGCTACATAGGTGGGCTTCTCCAGCACTTGTAGATCTCCCCCACACCTCTCCGTATCTCCCCCATATCTCCCCCGTATCTCCCCCATCCCTCACCCAAGTGGGCTTCCAGTAGTTGTAGATCGAGTCGACACCAAGCAGCAGCCCCTCGGGCAGGAAGGATGCCACCTACGGGACATGTCAGGGAAGTGTCGTGGACATGTCCAGCAGCAGTCCCTCGGGCAGGAAGGATGCCACCGACGCGTCGAGCGACTTGCAAAACGCGTGCCTTGGGAGGCAGGGCGAGAGAAGGGTCGGGCAGGCGTCTCCACACACACACACACACACACACACACACACACACACACACTGGCAGAGAGAGAGAGAGAGAGAGAGAGAGAGAGAGAGAGAGAGAGAGAGAGAGAGAGAGAGAGAGAGAGAGAGAGAGAGAGAGAGAGAGAGAGAGAGAGAGGAGACAGCGGGCAGTGAGGAGCGGGCAGACGTCTTATCAGAGAGCACAAACTCGCCGTCGACCCGCCGCACGCGGATGATGGCCTATTCGTTGTTAATTGGCCTGTTCGTTTTGAGCTCTTTGCTCAAGAATTATCAACCCGCCGCACGCGGATGATGGCCTGCGCCGGCGGGGGAGGCGGGGGTGGCGCGGGGAGGGGGGCGAGGGCGGGACGCCACCCCGCCGCCCCGCTGCTTGCGCGTGGGTGAGAGGCGCATGCGGCGGAAGGTGCGGCAGGAGGGTGCTGGTGGGTGGTGGCGTCTCGTGCGCGTGGGCTCTTCTGCGCCTTCTCGCCGGCAAGGGAGGGGAACTTGTGCTTGAGTGCGTCCGCGGCCTGCAGCGAGTCGCGCCTGTGGCCGAAGCGTGGCCGCGGCGGCACAGCCACGCGTGTGAGCGACGGGAGGATGCGGCTGGGAGGCTTCAGCGGCAGCGGCGCACATGTAGGCTGGCTGCCAGCGACCAGGTATGGTTGCGAGATCGGAGGTGATGGACGAGACGACCGTCTCGGCGTGATAGACGCCGAGGAGGCTCACCATCACCCAGAAGGTGAAGACGACGTGTCTGAAACGATGCATGAGCGCCACCCATGTCGGCGTGAAGTTGACCCAGCTCTCAAAGGTGGCTTGGCCTGCGGACGAGGAGCGCCGTGAGGTGCCGGGAGGTGAGGCGGCGGGAGCAGAAGCGTCGAGCCTTTCAGGCCACCCATCGCCGGAGCGTGGGCGAGCTTGTCGACTGCAAGCTGCGCCAACCAAGGTGGCGCGGCTTTTTCTTTTTTTGTAAAAATTTTTTCCCGATACACTTGGAAACGCTTCCCCGGCCACTCTTTGCATTGCGACCACACTGCCCCAACTAGTACCATTTAACAATACATGCACATACATCTCGGATCGCTGTGGAGGGAGTCTGCCGCGAAGTCTGCCGCAAAGCGCTGAACGAAGACCTGCACAACGTCCCGCTGGCTGGTCTGGTCATGTGCTTGGTTGGACTGTTGGTTGGTGGTGATGACCGTGACGTTATAGTCTATCTACGAGAGGGAAGATATACACGTCATGCCAGCAGCACCCAGCGGTAGTTGGGCATCCAGGCGCTCGAGTTTCCCTCTCCTTTCCGTGAATGAGCCACCCCGAGGAACACAAATTATATGTCAGGTGCCCAATGCCTGCGCTGTGCACTCATGGCAGGTGTCACTAGCCTACCCTATCGTAGGAGGCCCGCCAGTGCACTTGGAGCACTTGGAGTGCAGTCATTAACCTCACATCCAGGCCCGGGGAGCTAAGAAGCGCACCCAGCGGTGCGAACTTCTTTCTTGTCGTCTGCGCCTTGTCTGTCGTGTGAATCGGCTCCTAACTAACTAGCTGTATGTACTGCTTTGTCCGACCTGTCTTCTTTCCCCAGGGGGGCGCGTGGCAGAATTCTTTCCCCCAGTCCCGTGCCCAGAAAAAAAAAGAAAGATAACGTACAGCCACTTCCGCCCCCACCACTGGGACGGCTGCAGGGTCGTGGGGCCGCCCCAGCGGCTCCACACCAGGCGTTTGGACCGCAAGGGCCGCCACTATACCCGCCGCCCCTGCCACCGCCTCCACCCCCGCCGCCGGCGGGGCCGCCACCGTGTGGACCCGCTCGGAATAACCTGGGGGATCCGGAACCGCCCCGCCGGAGGCTGGCGTACCCGGGAGAAGGAGCTGGGAGGGGGGAGTTGCCGCAACACAATAACGAACCCGCCGGCGAGCCGGAGGGCCGAGACCGGAGGGCCCCGGGGGGGGCCTGGGGTCAGCTGTCGGAGGAGGCGAGAGACGAGCTGACGCGGCCTCTGCGAGTAGAGTCGAGACGGACGGACGAGCCGAGGACGATAGAGAGACCGCGGGGGCGGGCGCGAGTCCTCGACCGAAGAGAGCTGGCCCCACCCCCCGGGGAGGGGCGGCGTGGCGATCGAATGCCGCCGCCCTCACCCGAGGAGTCGGGCACGGGATCGCCGGAGGCGGAGGCAACAAGAATAGCCCCCGAAGACGAGACGACGGCGAGGCCGCGGTCGAAGAAGTATAAGAGGGGAAGGCGGGCTCCGCAGCCGACGCCGAACCATCGGAAATCGAACAGGAGGGAGGACCGGGAGGAGAGGGGAGCCCCCTCGGATGGGAGGTGGGGAGATCGGGCGGAGGAGCCCTGAGTGGCGATGTCGGGTGAGAGTGTACGTCATGCTCGTGTCTAGTGTCTGGTGTTTACTAGCTCCGAGTAGAGGGGGCGTTCCGCCGCTAGGGGACACCCAAAGCGCAGAACTAACCCTCGGAGACCCGTGTTTACTTTAAGGCCCTTGCCCTGCGAATGCGCACCCCCCTAGCTAGGGGTCAGGGCTCTCTAGCCCGTAGCCCGATGCCGATCATCCGGCCCGCTGGATGCGCTTCTCAGCTCACCGGCCCTGGATGTGAGGTTACCGACTGCACTCCAAGTGCTCCAAGTACAACCTGCTCCAAGTGCCCCCCAAGGGAGGGATGGGAGGACGGCAAGCCGCCACCACGCAGGGATTTTAAGGAGAGGGGTGTGATGCGCTAGCCGTCGCCCACCCTTGGGCGTCCGCCTCTTCCTATCCTATCTCTCTTCGCAGTCTCTCGCCGATTCTCGCTGCAACCTTCATTCATGGATCATATATGCCACCTCGCGGTCGTCCCACTCACTCTCGTCGTTCTCTCAATTTGTTGCTCTCTTGTCGCTTCTTCCTCTGTCGTCCTGTCGCGTCGCTCTCCTCTGCCTCGTCCTGCGACGGCGCCGCCGCCTGCCGCTCCCTTGCTCTCGCCTTTCGTCGCAGCTCTGCCCACCTCGCGGCAGAAAGAAAGAAAGAAAGAAAACAGACAACCCCTCGCGGCATATTTCCCGTGCCCTCACTCGTAATTCTTTTCCCAGGGCGCCCGCGGAGGAGGGTATGTCCTCAGCCTCCAGCAGCGGCAGCGACAGCGAAAGTTCCGACTCGGACCCTTTCGCCGAGGAGCGGCGGCGCGACCAGAAGCGGCGGCGGCGTGAGGCGGAGGACGAGGCGCGCGAGGCACGCAAGCGCGAGAAACGCGCCAAGAAGGAGAAGAAGGAGAAGAAGAAGAAGGAGAAGGCGTGCCGCTGTCGCAGCAGCACCCCGCCACACGCCCCCGCCACCTCACCGCGCCTGCTCGCCGCGAGCGCAGAAGCACCACTCGAAGAAGGACAAGAAGAAGAAGGAGAAGCGGCACAAGCGCCGCGACGGCGCGGGCGACGGCGCGGGCGACGCCGGCCCGCGCGGCGGGCCGCCCGCGGTGCAGTGGGGCAAGTACGGCATCATCAAGGAGGACCAGATGTACGAGAAGCAGGAGGAGTTCCTGGCGTGGCTATCTGAGGTCAAGGGCGTGCCGCAGGAGGCGTGCTCGGCGCACTGCTATGCAAAACAGCAAGCACCGCACGCAGCAGCGCAGCAGCACGCAGCAGCAGCACGCAGCAGCACGCAGCAGCAGCACGCAGCAGCACGCAGCAGCAGCACGCAGCAGCAGCGCAGCAGCAAGCAGCAACACCGACATACCATGCACAGCTTGCTCAGGCCCACCGCGGTGCACAGCAGCACAGCAGCCATGTGCAACAGCCATGTGCAGTAGCCATGCACAGCCGCCATGGACAGCCGCCATGCACAGCAGCCATGTGCAGCCGCCATGTGCAACAGCCGCCGCCACGCGCCTCCCTTGCAGGCGTGCTCGCAGCGCGACCTCAAGGAGCACTTCTCGACCTACGTGGAGGACTTCAACACGGCGACGCTGCCCGACGAGAAGTACTACAACCTGCGCACGTGGTACCTCAAGGAGCAGGCGCGAAAGGCGCGCGAGGGCGCCGACGCACAGGCGCCACCACCACGTTCGAGCGGACACGTCCACGACATGTCCACGACACGTCCACGACACGCCCACGACACGTCCACGACATGTCCACAGGCGAGCGCCGCCGCCACGTTCGAGCGGACGACGTTCGACGACGAGGCGGCGCGCAAGGCGGAGCTCGCGAGGGAGCGCGCCAAGCGGTCCGAGGCGACGACCGCGCTGATGGCAAAGGCGATGGGAGAGAGCAAGGGCAGCTCGGCGCTCATGGAGGACATGCGGCAGCAGGAGGAGGCGCGCAGGCTCATGCAGGCGCGGGGTAGAGACAGAAATCGCTGGGGAAAAGAAAGCGCAGGCTCATGTTCGCAGGGAAAAGAAAACGTCAGAGGAGCCCTTCCAGCACTGACGCCCGCGTCGCCCCGCCACGCCCTCTCGCCCTCCGCCTCTCCGGCTGAAGCAGATCGCGAGAGCTCGCCCTCTACGCTCACCGCTCCACACACACACGGCCGCAGGTTGCATACAAGACGGGCGACGAGTCCAAGGCGCGCGAGATGGCGCTGCGCCTCGACCCCAACCACGTCACTGAGGAGCAGATGCGCGCCACCTGGGGATCGGGCGCGGGGCCGCAGCGCAAGGCGCGCAAGCCGCAGAAATCGTGAGCGCACGGGTCCGCGTGGAATTGGAACAAGAGGTGCTACGCGTCCGACACATATTTTATAAGTATTCACCAGCTCGCCGCCGACGCGCCAATCATACTCGCATGCTGCGAGTCCTGGTCGGTAATCGCGAAGGATGGCTCTCCAGCTTTACCTCCGCTGACCTCACTGCCGCAACGCGTGGGTGGAGACTTTGTCCTCGGCCGAGATGTGCGGACGACAGCACTGTCCTCGGGTGTCTGCCCCGCTGTGTTTCACGTAAGCAGCTCGCCCTGACGCCTTCAAGCGGCAGCACGCTGCTGCTTGAGCATTATCACGGCACGGCCTCTGGGCCGGCGCGGGGGCCCCCGGAGGCACCGTGCGCCGCGCCGCAGTGCGGAAACGGGGCTCCGGCTCTACTAGTCTCTACTAGCACCAACTTCCCGATCTAACCCGGTCTAACAGAGGGCAGATTTGGAGAGATCTCGAGGAGTACATACAGATAGACCCTCTAACCATAAGAAAACTCCGACCTGATTGGTCGTACTGACCGCCGACAGATCACTCCAGACAGCAGACAGGCCGACGTCTGCACGCGGCTGGCCGGGCGAGAGGCTTGACACGATCCGACCCTGCGACCCTGACGCTGCAGCTCTAGCTATCAGACATGCACTGCTGACTGCTGCCACAATATGCGACCTGTGCTGGCCCACTTGGCGGCCTTCCCGGTCAGTGGTGAGGCGCAGTTCAGAGCTGTCGATGGCGCGATGCCGCACTGGTCCCACATTGGTGACACGAGACCACCAAGTTTGCCAGTCCAAGAGAGAGGCACCGGCGCTGTCCTGTGAAGGTGCGTGGTCCCTCCTGACTGCCCATGCGCGCGAGGCTGTGTAGGCATAGCCTCGAGAGTGCCAGCAGCCAATCCGAGGCGACGCGCATTGCGCCAGAAGCGTGCACACGATGGAAGGACACCTTCCTACTGGTCGTAGAATCAGGTCGTCACTGAATGCTTGATACTAAGGCCGCGAGCTATGCAGGTGATCAATTGTGCATCATGGCACGGTCAGCAGCGCCGACAGGCTGTCGCAAGGCGTGATAGCATGGCCGCAAGTACGCAGAACTCCCATGAAAACAAGTAAAAATCGCGAAAAAAGAAAAAAAATCCGAAAAAATCGGCGCCTGCGGCGGGCCGTGGGAACCCATCTCCCCCCCGCATGGACACCCTCTGGGGGCCCCGCGCCGGCCCAGAGGGCACGGCAGCCACGGGCGTGCTCAAATCATCCGCGGGAGATCACTGGGTGTGGTTGGACGAGAGTGGCTGCCAGTGTGAGGTCGGCCACGGGGACAGAATCGCTCTCACACGCGGCGTTCCTCCGAGTCGGACTGAGCCGCAGCCTACCACTCCGCCGCTCGAGCTCGTATTCACTCTCTGCTGGCGCTGCACCAAGGCATCGCTGCTCGCGCTGGTCACCGAGATGCGTAACCTCGCGAATAAGGAGGAGCACAACACAAAGGTAAACCAACTTGGACGGCTGGCGTTCGAGATCTTGCCGGAGCAGTCTGAGCGACGGCTATGTTGATTCGCGCGACATTGAGGCGCTCCGCAACCAGAAGGGTGTCGGCGAGTGGAGTGTGGAGCAGCGGCAGCAGCTCTGCGACACGGGCGCCTGTTCCTACCTCATGCATGGCGCTGCGGGCTCGGCGGCGGAAGTAGAGGGAGGGGCCGAGGGACCATACCCCCCCACCCCTGGCGAGGGCTAGTCTTGGGCGGTCAGGACCATACCCCCCCACCCTTTGGGCCGTGAGGGTACCATACCATACCCCGGAAAAAGTTGGAACCCAGGCGGGCGGTGAGGGCGGGCTTGGCCCTCGCCCTTTTGCCTTTATGAGCGATCGTCCACTTTGCATTGTAGAGGCACCACAGCAGCAGGGCGAGGAGAACCCACAGGCTCAATCGGCCAAAGCATTGGTTGGCACGGGCAGCCGTAAAGAAAGAAAGAAAGAAAACAGACACGCCAAACGAGGGATGGGACACGGGCAGCCGTAAAAAAAAGAAAGAAAACAGACAACCCAAGGGAGGGATGGGAGGACGGCACGCCGCCACCACACAGGGATTTTAAGGAGAGGTGTGTGATGCGCTAGCCGTCGCCCACCCTAGGGAGTCTGCCTCTTCCTATCTCTCTTCGCAGTCTCTCGCCGCTTCTCGCTGCAGCCTTCATGCCACCTCGCGCAGCCGTGTCGTAGCCGGAGAAAATCGGGAAATTCTTCCGAGGGAGCGCCGCGTTCTGCTTCTGGGCAAGGTGCTGGGCTCGGCGACAGTACCCCTCGTCGCTCCACTCTCTGATGAGCAAGCCCACCGTGCCGAAGCCCACCACAAAGTTCATCGCCGACATGCGTGAAAAGAACGCGCCCGTCGCCGAGAAAGCCTCCGAGGACCCTCCGGCGCCGGGTTGCTGCGGCTGCGCTTCGCCGTGCTGCTTCTCAACCCCCACGCTCACGGTCCTCGACGGCACTGAAGCCTTCGAGGCGGAGAAGTACCTCGGGAAGTGGTACCAGACGCATGCCTCCGCGACCGTCAAGTACACCTTCGAGCTCGGCGGGAACGCAGTCACGGCCGAGTACAGCGAGACCGACGTCCCCAACAAGATCTCCGTCGTCAACACCGTCCGCTGCTTCCCACGCCTCGGCGCCCTCTTCGGCAAGATCGGCCTCGGCTGCCTCTTCTCTGGCATCAAAATCAGCGGCTCTGCGGTGGGGACGCCGACCAAGGACGGGGTTTTCAGCGTCGGCTTCTTCCAGTGCTGCAGCACGCCCTCGTTTGAGCCTCCCGGCAACTACTGGATCCTGAAGCTGGGGCCGGTGAAGGAAGGCCTCTACTCGTGGGCCGTCGTCTCCAACGACACCGGCTCGCAGCTGTACATCCTCTGCCGTGACGTCCCCTCCTTCGTCGGCAGCGAGGCCGAGGCCGAAGCGCTGGCCTACGCCAAGGAGAAGGGCTTCACGGGCTGCTGCAACAAGCCGCTCCGCACCAACCAGCTCAACCCGCCGCCCTACTGATGCGGCTCAGACACGCCACGCGAGACGTGGGCGAGAAAACAGCACTCTGCTGTGAGCTCGCCTCTCGTAGGCTATATTGAGTTGCCCGGCGGCTCCCTCCGAGCTCCGTTCGTTACGCTCCACGTACGTACTGTGGTGTGCGACGGTGTATCATTCACTTTATGCCACTGTTGCATATCCGGATATGCAACAGTGGCATAAAGTGAATACACCGTCGCAATCCGGATATGCAACGGTGGCATAAACTGAATGATGTACATACACACACCGAGAGAGAGATTTTTAGCAATACCAATCACCGTCTCGCAAAACGCTCTGTTCCCTGGAAATTTCCGGAAACGCAAAGTGCTGGGGCGGACCCTCTGTTTTCCTTTTTGTTTTCCGGAAAACCTGGTTGAGCCCAATAGAGTTGTCGGAGTGCGAGAGAGATTTTAGAAAACCAACAAGAAATTCTCTTGTTGGGAGAGAGAGAGAGAGATTTTTAGCAATACCAAACAACTCTAACTTTGCTTGTTGGGAGAGAGAGAGAGAGATTTTTATTACTTGTTGGAGTGCGTGGGAAAAGGGGGGGAGGGGGGTGCACGCCCGTCCCCCTGCCTCGAGGCTCGAGGGAAAGAGAGAGAGACAGGGAGAGAGGGAAAGAGAGAGAGAGAGAGAGAGAGAGAGAGAGAGAGAGAGAGAGAGAGAGACCCAGCAGGCGCAAGTCGAGGCCCACACCGAATCGGCCGGGCTGCGCACAATGCTCCGCGCCCCCTTGAGTAGAGGCATGGCGTCAGCCGCGGGCAAGGTCGTCGTCGCGCCGCGCAGACGATCGCGGCTTGCGCTCCGCGCGCCCATCCAGCTCACCGAGACCGCCGCGGAGCGGATCAAGGAACTGCTCGACAGGCGGAGAGAGTCGGGCGGCGGTGACGACGGGCCGGCCGCGCTGCGGGTGGGGGTCAAGACGCGCGGGTGCAGCGGGATGTCGTACACTATGAACTACGCCACCGAGAAGAAGAAGCTCGACGAGGAGGTGGTCGAGCACGGCGTGACGGTGTGGATCGACTCGGCGGCGCTGATGCACATTGTGGGGACGACGATGGACTACGTGGAGGACGACCTGTCGGCCGAGTTCATCTTCCACAACCCCAACGCTGAGGGCTCATGCGGCTGCGGCGAATCTTTCACCACCAAACCGCTTGACATCGGCCGCGCTGACGGCTGACGGCGGCCGTGGCCACCGTTTCATCCCTCTTCAGATTTTGGATCCTTGCGGGGTCCTCGTGCGAGCGCTTGCGTGGCAAGGCACTGGGGAGGCTGCGATGGGGGGCGCCCGCCCTCCTCTTCCGCCTCCGCTGGCGCGTGAGAGATGCCGCACCTGTGTTTTGTGAGAGAGTGGCCTGCCGCTGAGCTGCTGCTGCACCAGCCCCCCCCCCCCCCCGCACCCACCCCCCTCCACCCCCCTCCACCCTGTGCAAACGACGAAGCCTGTGCCACGCCGATGTGAGTGAGTGATGGTGCTTGCGCCATGCGTGCGATGACCGATGTCCAGTGCGGTGCGGTGTGGTGCCTGGTACGTTTCGCCCCGGACTCTTAAGACCGCGACCCAAGCTCCGCGGTTCCGCTGCCGGGAATTCTTTTCGTGTGCGACAACCCGTGCGCCAACGCTGTGCTCTCGCTCGTCCAGAGATGGCCCTGCTCGACCCGCGCGCGCTGCCAGAGGTGCTGGGGGAGGTTGTAACTCCGGGCGTCCGCGTGGCGACCCTCCTTAATCGCAGGTGCCGCACCCACCACCGGCCGCTCGCACGCACCCCGCTCACACACAGGCAACACCCGCGCTCTCTCTGCGCCGTAGCGGGCTGCAACTCGGCTCAGCAGGGGACGGCGCGGACGGCGCCACCATCGCCGCCATCTCGTCCAAGGTCTGGCAGTCGCATGAAAAGGGCGAGGACGCAGGCGTGCCTCGCTCTTAGCAGCGGCCCGCCCACGACTTGCGCCGAAGAGGCGCCTGATCACCCGCCCCTAACGCCGCAGGGACGCTGGGCTGCCTGCTCATCGAGTGCTCGGAGGGACGTCTCGCCATCAAGAGCGTCTCCTCCTTCCTCGTCGCGTGCTGTGCCGGCGCGCAGACCCACCCTGCCACGCGCCGCAATTTGTTGTGCTCTCGCCTGCCTCGTGTGCGGCTCTGTTGTGCGGCTGCGTGCGCGGCGCGGGCGCGGGCGGAAGGGCGGCTTGCTCACGCCCCGCCCCTGTCCGGCGCAGACTCGAGCGTGTCTTTTGGAGCGCTCAAGGCCAAGGTGGAGGCGCTGCACGCATCGTTGCAATGGGCGCTCCAGCACATTGGCCAGTGACGGGGCAGGAATCGTCGCCTTTTGTAAACTATATGCCATGTGTTAAACTACAACGGATCACAACAACACGAAACCCGCGCGACGGTGGACGGATTAACGACCGTCCTGCGGAGTGATTCTGCCCCTCGTCGCCCTCGACGGGATTTTGCATATTCTGCATTCTGGTGGGAGAGAGTGATTTTTGTTGCATTCTGCCATTCAGAAATTCTGGTGTGATCGTTTGTTGTGCTGGTGACTGGTGTGTGGCGGCGTAAGCGGTACCTAAAGGTGAAATGTCGCGCGCAGCGCCGCGCCTCGCCCCAGCATCTCGGGTTGACTCGGCCAGACAAAACCCCGCGTGGCTCGTGGCGGCGGCGGTGGCTCGGGGCGGGGGCGGCGGAGCCGCCGCAAGGCGGCACGCGCGAGCCGCGAGGCGTCGAGAGCCGAGCTCGAACGGCGCGTCGAGGCTGGTGCGAGCGAGGGTGGGAGGGCGAGGACGAGTCGGAGGACGAGGACTTTGGGGGGGGCGAGGCGTCCGAGTCGGACAGCGTGGAAGAGGAGGAGGAGGAGGAGGGGGAGGAGAGCGAGGAGGAGGGGGGGGGCGAGGAGGGCGGGAGCGACGACGAGCCTCCGGCGGAACTTGCGGCTCCGCCGGCTCCGGCCGTCGAGGAGCAGGAGGTGGGGCCGCCGCCCGCCGCGAGGCGCGCGACCCGATCGTCGTCGCGCGGCCGACGGTGAGAGGCCAGCCGTGGTGTGCATGCGGTTGGGGTACGGGGGGCATTTCGGAGCAGTAGAAAGAAAGCAGGCAGCCCAAGGCGTAAGGGTGGGGTGGGAGGACGGCACGCCGCGCTTTAGTTGAGAGCACTTGGAGCACTTGGAGTGCAGTCATTAACCTCACATCCAGGGCCGGGGAGCTGAGAAGCGCACCCAGCGGGCCGGATGATCGGTGTCGGGTTACGGGCTAGAGAGCCCTAGCCCCGGGGGTGCGCGTTCGCAGGGAAAGGGCCGTAAAGTAAACACGGGTCTCCGAGGGTTGGCTCCGCGCTCTGGGTTTCCCCTAGCAGCAGACCGCCCCCTCTACTCGGAGAGCTATAATGAACACCAGACATGAACACGACACGCACTCTCACACGACGTCACCGCTCAGGGCTCTGGGCTGCAAATTCTTTTGTTCCGCTCGCCTGCTTGGCGTCCACCATCCTCCTGCCAGCTGCAGCGCCCTCGCCTGGCTCTCCGCGCACCTCGTGCAGGCATGCCTTCAACCCGCGCCTCGGAAAATGACGCTCGACGCGGGACTGCACTCCTCGGCTCTCTGCTCTCGAGCGGCGAGTCCGCCGACGTGATCCAGCACGTTCTGACGCAGCTCCTCGATTCCGCCAAGCGCTCCGGCGGCTACGGCGATCGCGGCAAGTGCCCGATCACAAAGCAGTACGCGAGTCCGCACTCGCAGCTGCAGACGCTGGTTCTCACTCTGAGCCGTGTCTGCTCCACTTGGGACGATGCGGTCTGCACTCTCCTGCACGGCGGTGCGGCGATCTGCCTTCAGCCCCGAGAGCTGCGCGTCATGAAGAGCAAGTCACATGCGCTCGACCTGACCGGCATGCACGACGAGTTTGTGCGGGAGCTGGAGTCGAAGCTCGGCGGCCAGACCGTCAGCGTTCCTTCGGGATACGACGAGGAGGACGATGACGTCACCATCGAGCAGCTGCCCTTCCTTCAGACCCTGTACGATGACATCTTTGGCGGTACGTATGGACGGCTAGCAGCAAGCCTGTGCAAGCGCACCCTTACGATCACCCCGTGCCTTCGCAGGGAAGAAGCGCTTCCTGCGCGCAGTGGACGCAGAGTACAAGAAGTTTCTCGTCGTCAAGGCCGTTGAGACGCTCGTGCGCGACCGAGTCGACGCCCTCGCCTTCGGTTCGACGGGAGAGTCGCTCACGGAGATGGAGTCCGAGGCGGTGACGCCCAAGAAGCCAACGAGTGCCATACAGTTCATGGTTGCGAGCCGCACGTACGCCGTCGGGGACGAAACCGTGAAGCGTTTCGTCGAGGATTGGAATGCACTCTCTGATGCGGACAGGGCGTCGTTTGCCGAGCTCGCGAAGCGGGACAAGGAGCGATACACGGCCGAGTGCGCGGCGGCGTCGCCTCACAGCTTCATTGAGGAGCTCGCCAAGCCGCTCAACCCCAAGGAGGCCAACGAGGTGCCGCGCGCGCCCAGCGCCATATAAATTGCCTATGGCGCTAAACCGTCGTCCCTGCCCTCAGCGCCCCCCCCGTCGTTCGTAGCTCGGCCTGCTGGGCAAGAGTCCCTTTGTCGTGCGCTGCCAGCCGACGCGCATTCTGGATCTGATGTGGCACGTGCACATGACCTTCCCGCGCAAGTACTCCGCTGCGTGCACCGACCTCATCGGCGCGGTCATCGACCACAACCCTGGCTACCTCAACCCCGAAGGCGAGGGTAGCTCCAAGCTCGTTGCGAAGCTCGATGCGGTCTACGCGACCGAGAGGAAGTGGAAAAACTACCCCTACGATCTCGGGTGGATGATTTCCAACCGCACGATCCAAGACTTCTGCTGGCAACTGGAGGAGAGCTACGCGGAGGCGTTCTTCGGTGATGCTGACTGTGGCTGAATACCTGCCTCGAGAACTCCACGGGGGATCTGACGCCGTGACGTGGGTGGGGGGCTGGAAGGGGCGGGCCGAGCGGGCGGGGTGGGGGGAGGGGGGGGGGGGGGGGGGTTTCCCCCCCCCCCATTCCAGGGGCTCCTCCCATGTGGCATGTCCCAAAGGAGGCCCCGCCCCCGCCGAACAAGGAAGCCCCCCCCAGGGGTGTGAGCCGTACAAAAGTGAGCCCCGTCCCCCCCCCTGGGCCTGTGGGCCGGGTCTATTTCCCGGCGGCGGTTCTTTTTTTTGTCGGAAGCGTGTTCTCCCCGGGCGCCCTCCCTCCCCTATACCTGTCCAAAGCGAAACGGAATGGCGAATGCCTCCCATCCATGGGGGCCCCCGTGGGCAAAACCCAAAACCAAAAAGGGGGGGGGGCAAAGAAAAATCCTCGGGCAAAAGCGCGTTTTCGTCCCCTGGGTGGAAAGGGGAATTTCCCAATCAAGGGGGGGGGGGGGCAGCCAGCCCCGTCCATTCGTTTCTTAAGG